TCGGATAACTAATTTTTGTGTCATTAAGCAAATGAAGAAGCACTCTGTAAGAAGTCACTGACTTGGCTGAATCTATGCTGGAATCCATCTACTACGCTATACTACTCACCCTGTAGCAACTGTTCAGAAGCCTCTGCATCAATCCCATAAGACCCAGGTTAGGTGCTCCCAAAGAATTTTAACCAATGCTAAAGGAAAACAAACCATATGAAAAGGCTGGAGAGATGAGATGGCTCAGTGATTAAAAGCACTTGTTGGTCTTGTAGAGGCCCAGGTTCAGTTCCCAGAATCCACGTGGGAGTTTTTAACCATCTCTAACACCAGTTCCAAGGGATCTGATGCCGCCTTCTGACCTCCTTAGATAGCAAGCATGCACATGGTGCATATACACAGATGTAGACAAAACAATTCTACACATAAAATGAATCTTTAAAAAATATTTTAAAATGAAATCATATGGAATTTTTTCTTTAAAAAGTTGAAATATGTAATAATATGTATTGATATCACATTACTCAGAACTGTTGATAACTGTACCTTTTTAAATTTCATTTTGTTTTGAATTTTGAAACAGGGTCTCACTATGTAGTCTAGGCTTGTTTCCAAACCACGGGCTCAAGTGCTCTACCTGCCTCAGTTTCCCTAGTAGTTGTGAGTACTGGGAACGCAGCTGGGTGCCACACTTGACTAATAAGTACCTGGGAGTTTAGCTAAGTAGTACAGCATACTCTAGCATACATAAGGTTCTGGGTTTCATCCCCAGCACTGGGAAAAAGTAAGAGATGAAAAAGAAAATGCATTTAATTATCCACCTGCCATATTGTCAAAAGTCACTAAAAAGGAAACCAATAAGCATAGATAAAACTTCTTAAAGATGTTTTAAAGAAAAACTACACATTCAAAACTTCATATTTTAAGGATTTAAAGAACAGAGTACCTTCTAGTGCCTGAAGTTGTTAAATGGGCTAATACTTAAACACAACTTACAACTATATTGGAGTCACACGTATTTTACAGTTTAGAAGTGTTACTGCTTGTACTTTAAATGTGTGGTAATCTTTAGTATATGTGGAAACAAGGACAACAACTCATATTTCTACTTTATTAGCATGACTCACTAAGGAATATATTATGGTTTACCAATAACAAAGAAATTATATAGCCCAAGGAGGTTTTGTTGTTGCTTTTATGTTTAATAGCTATGTAAAAATACATTTGGTTTAAATGTTAGTAATATACAAATAATTTCTAATTAACTATTAAGACTAAAAGTTACTGTTGCCAGATGGCTGTGGCTAAGCATTATATGACAGAGAATATGCACACACACAAATTCTGAACTTCTGCAATGACACTCTCAAGGAGACAGCAGGAAAAACAAAAAAGGAAGCACTCAGCCCACCCATTCTTAGTATCTGGCTCTACTGGAATGAGCCAGATTTTAGCTCAGCAAAGACTTGCAAAACACGTGTTACTTCACATCTCACAAACAACACCAACTGAGAAGCATGACCTAGGCTACTACAACACAAAATCTACAGTACAAAGGGGTAGAGATGACCACGTGAATGTTATGTCCTGAGGAAGCCTAAATGAAGAGTGAAAACCCATCATAGAGGGGAAGCATGTCAAAGTTAAGCAATTTTCAAACTGTTAGTATTAACCATAAATGTTGAAGTTAAACCTCAGCATCCTGTCAGGATACAGAACCATTGGCCTAGAAATATCCCTAAATATTGCTTAACTTATTTAACTCAAAACCAATCTTACTGGATATATCATTTTTAAATAAAGAAAAATTTTTTAATTTATTTGTGTGAGGGAGATACCAAAGGGACACATGAAAGAGGGCTCTTTCCTTCCATTACATGGGTCCTGGGGATGAAACTCAGGTCACTGGCAACAAATAAATGCCTTACCCAATGAGCCATCCTGACAGACCTGATGAGTACTTCTTAAGAGACTTCTTTCAACTTTACACAGGACTGGATGAACTAACAGCTATTCCACTATTACTTTTGTGCTAAAGATGTAGATTCTGAAAAATCTCTACTTAATGAAGAACTAAATTTTAACAGTTGAAAGGGAATTTAACAATCGATTTTAATCCAAATTTTATCCCAAAGCTAGATTCCAAAGAGATGCATTTAACACCAATCCATTAGGAATTTACTACAGTTTACTGCAGCTAGAGAGAGTTTTGGTTAAGAGTGCTTACTGCTCTTGCAAAGGGATAAAGTTTGGTCCCCAGCACCTACTTCAGGCAGCTCACAACCAACTGAAATTCCAGTTCCAGGGGAATCCCACTCCTTCTGGCCTCTGCTGCAACCTATATGCACGCGGTACACATAGACAGGCACATAAATACAATTAAAAACTAATTTTTAAAAAAGTTCCGTACATTAAAGACTCAATGTTGACTGCTGGAGGTGACACAAATATGCTTAAATCATAACTTCCAACAAAAATTCTACAGGATGTCCCAAGGACTTGTGGGCTGTGAAACAGAATACCACACCCTAAAAATAAAGTTCTAAGACAAGAGCAGCAGCAGGGGAAATCCCTTCAGAAAACATGGACGTAGTGTCCGGGCTAAGAACACAGACTCAATTTGGGGCATGTCACAAGGACAAGACAGGAGTTTCAGGCAATGCAAAAGGGCTCCACTTGGGTGACCTACACAACAAATGTCATTTCCAACCATGCCTCCCTGACAGTCTCCACTTGGGTGACCTACACAACAAATGTCATCTCCAACCATGCCTCCCTGACAGTCTCCACTTGCGATGCTTGTATTCTTGATGTTCATTCTCCAAACATTCAACCTCCCCATCCATCCGGGCACTCAGGTATCTCTGCCTGGATTGTCTTTCCCCTAGGTATCTCTCTGCAAAGTTGCTTTTCTTACCACAGTCAATACTGCGCTGAAACACTGCTTCCTGGTGAGAATGTCACTGGCGGCGGTATTTTAAGTTATCACCCTCACGCTCCCTACTTTGCCTTGCTTTAGTTTTCCACACCATTTATTAATATTAATACCTGTGATATCATGTAGGCCATTTATTAGCCATGTCTACACTCCCCCTACAAGTAAGCAGGAAGTAGATGTGTTTCTCCATTTACAGTGCCTGCATGTGGCAGACATGAAGTAAAGATTTGGTGACAAGCAGACAATGGAATAAATGAGTGGAAAAACAGTATCTGCCCTCACAAGGGTTATGGTCTAGTGCAAGAAGCAAAGAAATAAATTACTTTCAATTATTTCTGAAAGACAACTTAGCACATGGTTGGGAAAATCCAATGTGTAACCACTGACCCAGAGAAACAGCTTCTGGAGCACCACCTTCTTTCCATACAGCATCCTTTTAAACACATCCAGTCTCAGCCTCCAGCTGCACGGTCACTCAAGGACCAAGAGTGCCACCACAGCGGCTTCAGCTGCACAACTGTTCCCACAGTGGCCTTCACTGCCACCGACAATGAAAGGTCAGAGACAGTTCTACTCCCACTGCTGGACAAGAGGAAGTTGTATTTCTAGATTTCCAAGTTAAAGCCACATTCCATATGGTTTAAGTCTACCTATAGTAGTGATGACTATGAAATCATGGATTAGCCAAGGGACCTATAATGTTTAATAATTAATTTTATAATACCAGGGATTGAAGCCAGGACCTTGTGGACACGAGACACACTCTCACTAGCCCACCTTTTACTTTTTATGTTGAGACAGAGTCTCGCTAAATGGCACAGGCTGGCCTTGATCTCAGTAGCCCAGGTCTTGAACTTCCAATGCTCCTGTCTCAGCTTCCTGAGTAGCTGAACTTACAGGCCTTTAGTACCAGGCCAGACAAATTACTAAATTTAAATGTAGGGGAAAAAACCAAAACTCTTTAATGCAGTTTCACTCTTGGAACATACCTTTTCTACACAGCAAACGGACTCAACAAGGGCTAGTTAACATTTTAGACAATCAGGTAATGTCAAGCTAACGCATTGTTTTCCTCAGAAGGAACTAGAATTTTATTTTGGATTCAAGAATAATCTAGCCGGGCGGTGGTGGTGGTGGTGGTGGTGCACGCCTTTAATCCCAGCACTCAGGAGGCAGAGCCAGGCGGATCTCCGTGAGTTCAAGGTCAGCCTGGGCTACCAAGTGAGTTCCAGGAAAGGCGCAAAGCTACACAGAGAAACTCTTGTCTCGAAAAACCAATAATAATAATAATAATAATAATAATCATCATCATCATCTAGGCTTTTTAAACAGACCATTAGCGTTTAAGTTATACTACACTAAAAGCTGCACAAAAAAGTGGAGCAAAGTGTTCTTTATCATCAGGGAAAGCAAAGCAACTTAAGGAAAGGAAGCAGCTCATTTCTCACTTCAACCAACACCTCCACAGACTGCATTATCACTTTAGGCAAACTGACATTTTCACGTTTCATTTTTAATGGCAGGAATAATTTCCATCTGGGGCCATGCGCATCAAGGGTTGGTGTTGGCACATCTTCAACACTAAATTCTAAGTCCATGTCTGCTGTAAGCAAAAAACGCCCCAAGACAACACAACAGCTACGGAGCTCACATTCACCCTACACAGGACAGCTCAGTCTATGACCTAGCCTGAGTTCTGCCCTCAGGGAAGGCATAGGAGCCTACTACCTCTCCTCAATCCTTTACAAACTGTCTTCACGACTTTAAAGTTATCTGTTCCTAGCAATATTAAACAATGTTCACAGTTCTAGAAGAGAACTTTCACAGATGCTATTTCGTTGAAACTAAAACTCAGGGCAAAGGAATGCCCCTATGTTTTGATCGGGGGAAAAAAAGAAAAGAAAAGAAAAGTCACATCAAAATGAAATCGTTAACTCCGAAACACAGAATCCCTTTCTGGATGGGTCAACGACTTAGGCTGCCAGTTATTTCAAGAGTCAATCCAGGCAGTAGGTTTAAAAAGTCCACTAGCAACGTCAGGTCCCCACTGATTTTTTTTTTCAACAGCCACCTTGGAAGTCATACGGGGCTTCAGATGCTTCCATATGGAATCACACTGGACGGACCGTCCGGCCAGGGCGTGCGGCGAGCCAAAGTTGCTGAGCTCGGAGAGGATTAGGGCGGACACAGCGGCCCATCTGTCCCCCCCGGGCGACAGAAAAAGCAGTCCACCTGGACCCGGGCTGGGCGACAGGGAAATGGGACTCGGGGAGCCGGGCTGCGGGCGCTCGACAGGAAGCAGCGGCGCTGCCGCGGCGTGGGGCTGGAGGGGCCGGGCAGGTGGG